TTGCTTCGTTATCTCGTGTTCTTTTTTTTTTTTCTCTCATTTTGGCACGCATTATTTGTTTCCTTACTATTGGCACGACATTTATGAACAATGAGCTTGCTAGAATTAATTAATTAGAATAAATCTCGGACGCACCTGAGATCGATATCGTTCGGACGACACGATGTATAATAATAAAAAGACCATCGCTGTTTACTTCCTGGTTTTTTCTTTTTCGGCTTTTTCTTCTTCGTACGTATATCCACCGTGTACTTAAAAATACACAGAATGCCAATGAATCGCGTTTTACGTTCGGCTCGAGGAGGCTCTACGTCCGTACACGAAAGGCAATCCGTTCACAAGCGGTAATAATCACCCTCGCACATATACACGTGTCACGCGGTTCGTTTCTGAAAAACAGAAGAAGAAAAAAAGGGTTCTGGGCATTTGTAAGGTCCACAGGGACTTCTAAAGTAAGGATGTAAACGACGGAACGCGGGTTGAAAAATCAATTTTTCCTATCTATTCAATAATACCTTCTCGAACATGCATATCTCGCTCTTCGTCGTTGACGAATTTTCAACATTTCTGTGTTACACGTTTTACGTTGAACGTACACCCGTGCTCTGTGTAACGTAGGATAATTAAAAATATCAGTCTTTTATAGTGTCAAGTAATGTACGAAAATAATGAATTATTACTTGGAAAATTTTTTGTTTGTATACTGACGTCGTATATTAAGAAAAGATTTTCAAATAAAATAGGTAAAACAGGCAATTGCAAATTACGCAAATAAATATTCAAATAGACTGCTAAATTACCCTAATTACTTAAAGAGACAGCAGGCTAAACGCGCTTGAAACTCTAACGCCTCTGTGACATTTATAATTCTCTATGATAGTTAAATCACTTGCTTATTGTAAACGAGGATGACAACAAAAAGGAGAGAAAAGAAATTGATTTTTCGATCCATATACGTCAGACAACTCTCTCCTCGGCGCAAGTAATTTCCAGCTACCCTAATCTGTCCCGTACATTTATTCTTCTCTTTCTTTTCTTCAGAAACAACCTGGACACGTTCGAGCGCATGCTTTCACGCCGTTTCGAAATGATCTACGTCCGAGACGTTTTCGTGGACGATGGATAAATAATTCTACCACGAGCACCGTTACATGCGAATGAAAGGAAAGGATCATTTCGGTACTGATCATTTTTCTCTTCTTTTTCTTTTCTTCGTCTTTTCTTTGTTCTCTGCGACACCTTAAAAGCTACGGAAATTATTCTAAACGCGGCCGTAGAACGATCCCTTCTAAAATGGAATAATCAATCGAGCGAGTTATCAAAAATAGAATTATCATTATAAGTACAATACACAACGCATCGATATACCAACGATCAACAATCGTCGTTCCGCGATATCCTGGGGAACGTTTATCGGCGGCACGACCGTGTACCAAAAATACTATATCATGCGTTAGGGCAGAGCATCGCGTCCGCATGCATGCACGAAACTCTGAAAAAATTAAATTAGACGACGATCCTCCTCAGCTACTTCTTGCCTCCCATTTCTCTCCTATCTTTCTTCTCTTCTCCTCTCTCTCTCGCTTTTTTTCATTTTAATGATCGCGCGACCAAGGGAGTCCCGCTACAGCGTAGTACACACACATATATGTAAAATCATGCTTTATATAAAAAGTATCCGCGAACTCGCTGCGCACGCCGTCCGAATAAACGCCTCACGAATATAAAGTATCGCCTCGAATACAATATACGTATATCAAAAAGCAAGAAAGTATTGTATACTGTACATGTATCATAGTGGGCGGAGAAAATGGACAAAGTTCTTTGGTGACGTTCGTAATTCGTGTCACGATTCATCGAACTCCAACAGATTTCGTTATATTGTAATTTCTTTTTTAAGAGAATTTTAATCCAACCGTCGGAATATACGTTCCGCAGCTAAGCGGCTTGTTTATTTCTTTATTTACAGTGTCCCTGATTTTCGGCAATTTTTCCTCGTTATAGAAAAATACCTTCCTCGAGAAGACTCGTCGCGTCGAAATTTCGTATCACGTTTCACCTTTGAACAAAGTAGAAATGTATAATACTTCTAGCAAAAGTGTATTCGTTCTGCTGTTCAGAGAATCTGAATACAGGCTAGGAGAATCCGAAGAATCGAACTAAACCGGAAACGATACGCTCACTCGAAGAGGTAACATTTGTTCGCGCGGTGTTTAACGGTCTGAGATAAAGAGGATCGCGAAACTATTATATTCTTCAATGGAAAACTCAACTGTTCGAACAGATGATCCTCTCTGATTATTTCAGAGGAGAGGAGATAATCCTTCGACTGTTCTCAGCCGCTTGTCAACGAATAAAGAAGCTTCGAAGAGCAAAGGAATCGCTTTTTTTGTCACGATCTATCGTCGTGCTGGAGATTCGATCAATCGTGACGATTTTTCCCCGCCGAAAATTCAGTCGTTTCTTCCTCTTTCTTTTCCCCATTCTCTTTTTCTTCCTTTTTCCCATTTTGGCCGAATGCGAATACAGCCGTCTCGGACGAGAAAAAACGGTAGCGTACTTAAATCGCAGCCATAAACGTTGCGCATCGAAGAGCATAGATCCTCTTCCCCGTGCCTTTTTTTTTTCTTATCTTTCCCCTTACAAAACCTTGTTATCGACTAGAACGTAGTTATGATACATTAAAAATTGACACACATTTATGTTATATGTATATTGGGCATCGCCTTATCGCCTCCCCTCATTTTTTTTTTTCCCTTCTCTACTTGTTCCTTTCTCGTTTCAGCGGAAAATCCACGAGACCCTACAATCGAATCGTTCTTTCTTTCTTTCTTTCTTTTTTTTCCTTTTTCTCGGGGACGGTCTTCGATCTTCTAAATAGAGAGGAAAAACTTGCGATATTTAATAATAACAATAATAATAATAATAATAATAATAATTCCCGTTTTGCGGCAAGTGAGGACAGAGTAAAATCGATGTTCTCGCAATAGAGAAACACCGATGAATTTGCTTATTATAGACGACAAATCGTATAGTTTGCAATTTTCTTCAAACTACTATAGCTTTCGACTTAGAGTTACACTTGTGAGACACAATAAGAAGTTTGCCTGTGTACGTAGTTTTCGTTGGAAAATCCTGCACTAATGTGTGCTCGATGCACGCTTGTACGATTCCTTAATCATATTATCTTTTAAACACGCGAGAAAAATTCGAACGACATGGTCGTTTTAAAAAGTATCTCCTCTTCATCTTCCTTTTCCTCTTCTTCTTCTTCTTCTTTTCTTCTCTCTCTCTCTCTCCCTCTCTCTGTTCACGTAATATTGTGAAGCGAACGTATACATATATATTTATATATTATATCATCGACCGGCAAACAGAAGACATTTTTTCACACCCCTCTTATCGTCGTTATCTCTATGAAATTCGATAAAAATTTCCCTCGGCTACTACCCTTTCCTCAATTAACGAACACATCGTGCGTATACACATTTACTTACGTACATACGCGCTATTACATTAGTAGAACGTCTGTCTCGTCACGATTCTCTCCCGATTTAAATTTCCCGTGTAAGAATAGCGGCCACGTTCCAGTTACATGCTAAATATCGTTAATAAATTGGCAATAATGAGAATAAATAACAATGTGTATCGTTTCGTCGTGTGATACCGTTAACAATTGGTAATTATAAGAGCTGGACA